ATACCTATAGAAATACTGAATACAAGTCTAAAGAGGTTAAAATTTCATTTTATAGGTCACTGGTTAAGCCACTTTTAAAGTATTGTTTGTCAGTCTTGGGCTTCTTATCTTAGGAATGATATTGAATTATTGGAAAGGGTTCAGAGAAGGGCTACTAGAATGGTGCCTGGGATGGAGGGGTTCTCATATGAGGAGAGGTTAATATCTCTGAAATTGTTAGAGGGTATCTGATTGAGGTATTTAAGATTGTGAAGAGAATTGATAGTGTTGATACATCAACTTTTTTCAAACTTAATGGCAAGAATAGTAGGCCTAGGGGACAAAAATATAAATTTTGGCAAATTAGGAATCATCTTCAGCTGAGGTAGTTTTATTTTTCTAACAGGGTGGTTGGCCTCTGGAATGGGTTGCCTTTGGATGTTGTGGAGGCAGTAAATTTAAGTGAAAGCTTGATAACTATATGAATGATAAGGGCTGGCTTAAATATTTTTTTAACTTATAATAGTTTACTTTAGAGGATAGGGTAGTCAAGATGGACCAATAGGTCCCTTGTTGTCCCTAAACATTGTGTTATGTAAATTTGAGAGAGTTCAAGAAGTGCAAAACCTTAAGCCTATATTGAATAAACAGAATTTAATGATGCCACTTCTTAAATGATAACCAACAAGTATATCTCTTTGTTAAGGTTTGATCCAACATTACAGGATATTGAACATTCCTGATTGGTGTAGCTTATTACTTCAAGCATGTTGCTTCAATAACATATTTACTAAGTTTTTTTATTTAGTTAAATCTTAATAAAATACTCAAACACTTTAATGAAAAAACAACTTTGAAACAGTTTAAAAAGCAATTATTTTTTATCAAAACTTACGTTGGTTGTAAAAGAGAACAAAATGATGTTCAGTAACCCAAACTCACATCTTATACATGGATACATGTAATCTGAACTAAATTCCACAACAAAATGTTTAAATGAAAAACAAGGTAATAATAGTAACTAATTTAAATAGAAAACTTCTTGATAAATTTTAAGGAATGTGTGATACTCAAAGAGAAACTACTGCATTCATATATACTTTGTTATTAGTCCAATATATAACTATAACATAGGTGATGTTGATTTGTTTTGTTGTTGTACTGTGAAGTATTTAAATACAACAATCCATGAGACTTGATGTATCCAAGACTTGTCACTCACTATTTCTTTATTCTCCAATAATTTTTGAAAAATACTGTATCAATAATGAATCCATGAGACTTGATGTATCCAAGACTTGTCACTCACTATTTCTTTATTCTCCAATAATTTTTGAAAAATACTGTATCAATAATGAATCCATGAGACTTGATGTATCCAAGACTTGTCACTCACTATTTCTTTATTCTCCACATTATTGATACAGTATTTTTCAAAAATTATGCATTTGTTTATCTTTTTTAACAATGTATATAAACATTTTCAAACAGTATTAACCAAACAATAATTTTAAATTCAAACTTCTGGCTGAAATTATCATTAAAAGCACGGGTACCCTTCTGATAAATTAATGCATTATATTTAATTAGCTAATATATTCTGAAGCTGTAAGTCTATGGTCATACTTCTTTTTCAAATTAAAGGCAAATTCCATCTAATGGTTTGAAAGCTATCTACATTAATAAAACAATGAAACTCGAAAGACTTTAATATATCAAATAATTTCTTCCATAAACATATTTAATAAATAATACAGTAAGAAACTTTAAAATCAGCTGGTAAAAATGGATTTATAACAGAGAATTTACTGGAAGATTCTTTGTTGAAAAAGACATTTTGATACACAGAATAATGATTTACCTGCTAAACACAACCTTCACAGAAATTTAAAGTCAGATTACACTAATTTTGAATATTCAGAGGTTTTTAGTACAACTAATTATCACAAAGATATAATATAAATGTATAGTACAAAAATAATCAAAGAACAAAGCCCACAGAGTGGCTTTCTGAAGACAGTGTTGTAATATTTAAGTTATTTGTACTTACCGAACTATTCCATGAACAACTCGACGATAGTATGGCAAAGAAGAGAAGATGGCAATGGGCACTTTTTGTGGAGTAACAAGAACCACTCTAAATGTAAAAGCATTGTAAGCATCACAATGGATTCAAGATACATCAAAGTACCCAGAGTATAAACTAAAAAATGACTATATAATGGGTGAGAGACCAAAAGTATGTTAGGGACTTCAAAAGCATAACCACCATACTTAACTTTATGTCCAATACTCTACTGATGCAATAGATTTTGCTAAAAATAGCTTTCTCTGTTGGTAATCGTTTGATTGATCTCTTCATTATAATCTCTAAGAGTCAAAGTACTTCATGTACAATTAAATCTCATTATGATAATGTTACAAACATTGCTGTTATGTGTGTTGCAAGTGGGGAGGTTTGTTTACCTTGATTACACAATAAAATGACAAAAACTTGGTTTGGTTGTTGTTAAGCACAAAGATACACAATGGGCTATCTGTGCTCTGCCAATCACCCATTATAAAAACCCAGTTTTTAGTGTAATGAGCCTGCAGGCTTACCACTGAGCCACTGGGGGGCAAGCTCTAGCTTACTTGATAATTGATCTAATAGTTTCAGGAGTGAGTTTTACAGCATATGATTAGTTTAATCTGTTATTATTTGGTATGTCTAGCATTTGGATTATATGTATAAAAACAAAAAAGTCAAACATACCTTTCATCTTTTATATATTGTCCCCATGGTGTCTTTAGATACTGAACCTCCACAGTGGAGGAAGATGAGTCTGATAAACTACTAGAAGTCTTCCAACTCCTACTAGCTCCTCCACCTGAAAAAGAACAGCATAAGCATATGTTGGAAAATGAAAACAAAGGTATTCTTGCAACTAACAAATTATCTTAAAGCAACAACAAAACAGACAATTCTAGAGGGTCAGACTGTAGGGAATGGAAATACTAGAGGTTTATAAATTGTAACTAATATGACTTGCTCAAATAGATCTTTTCTATTCAGTTTACTTAAGAATAAAATTTGTTCAAAGCATTAACATTAAATTGTGATTTGCATTGAGTTGGAAAAACTCAGTAAAGTGGTCAAATATGGCTCCTCGACCTCCAGTTAGACTGTGATGCATTGCTGGAGTTCATTCAGATATGATTAATCCCTTAATGACAGAATAAATGACAGACTTTAAACTTAGCAGTGATGATCATGGCATACAGCCAAAAGGTTTCCATCTATAGTAATCACAAAAAAAGATTGAACACAAACATGTTGGAAAAAATGTTCTAACTATGGCTAACATAAAAAAAGTCAAAAACAAAATCCACACTATCATGCTGGAAAAGTCTCCAAGCTATGGCTGACACAAACATCTAGAGAAGTACATGCTCTAGCTATGATTTTAACAAATTTTCATGAAACAAGAAGATTAAATAAATATAAAATAATTCTAATCTCCATCTCAAATTGCACTAATGAATGACAAAGTGACCAACACTGCATATTTCATTCCTAGTTGATTCAATAAAGTTCTGACCTTATCACTCAAATGACAAAAAAATTAGTCCCGAGAATAAAATCACATACAGCACAGCTCTGCACACATACAAAACAAATCTATGAGTACCATGTATGAAACTTTTAACATCATTGTCAGCAGTTTTAAGTATTCATACTTACATCATAGCCAGTTTCTAATGACAACTTGTATGCTGGACAGAAATAAATATGTACATACCCAAGAGTTAAAGATAATTTATAGTGTTAAATAGGTTCTTAACACAAACACACAAATCTCTGAACTCATTGAAGGAAATGGGAATGAAGACATTGTAATGTATTAAAATGCAAAAAAATCACTCTCTAAAACTAGAATCCAGGACTTCTGGTTACTGTGCTGATACCTTGTGATATATCCTAGTTACCATGAGAATACCATAAAGCCTTTTAAATTGGGTGACCTTTGACATGTTTACCAATGGAAAAAGAAACTGGACAAACTCATAATAATGTTAAATGCAGTAAGTTATCACTTAATTATTTAATGTCCAAAATGAAAGATATGTTTTTGCTTATGTTGCACCAATTACATTATGATTTAACTTTAAGTTACACTCCCATCACAAACAACAACAGACTTACATGAATTCGATGACGAGGAACCCACTTTGTGACTAATAATGGTTGGAGAAGGCTTGAATGGTTAATGAAGAGAAATTTTAATATAACTTTAACATAACAGCAAATGTACAACATTTTGACATCATCATTCAAGCCATCTCCAACCATTATTAGACTTACATAAAGAGCTTTCTGTGGAAGTATGCACTACAACTAACTAAATATAAGTCTAACTCTTACCTGTTTTGTGGTGATTTCATCTACTGAGCTATGATTATTTCATTATATCTTCTAAACTTTCAATAATCTTTAAAGAAGAATTTATGAATTTGCTTAAGAGTTAGCTTGTTTTGCCTCGAATGAATATCTCATTGAGTTAATGCATGTAATATGAAGTTTCTATGTTGCTTCAAGATAAATAGATGATTTCTTTTACTGTCTGTTGTAAAGGCAGCTGTTTTCCATTGTATGTAGTGGCAAACTGTTACTTAATATATGTATATATAGATTCTTTAGGTAAACTATAAGATGTGCAGATGTATGGAATTTTCACAACTAAAGTTAGACCCTTCTGCAGGTTTACTCTCCTATGAATCAAGATTTTTGGAGTAAGATGTAGAAAGAGGTTATGTGCCTAACAGAGTGTCCAATGTTAAACACTGTAAAATATTACTTTATTAAGAGGCTGTTTTAAATGCTAAATGTACATAGATATACACATGGATTAAATTTTAAGTGAATTGTCATACATTAGGTCTCAGCTGTACTAACTGATACTACACCATACAAGCCTTCTGTAAAACAATCTAAACAATACCTACTGGAATACGCATAGAAATTATCAAATAAAAGTACAAAGTACGAGATACATAAGAAAATATAAGCTCCTTTATTTGGGAAATATAAAATATATATCTTTTGTGAAAAAAACTTTATACACTTGCCTATACTCTCACAGCTCTCACTTGATACAAGTTTATGTTGTTCACTGATAAAATGCTGTTTTTGCCTTTGGCTAAATGAAGAAACTCTTGCACGTGCTTCAACAACTGAACCATGTGCTCTGTCATGGAATAATAAAATGTTCAATTAATCTTTGCTTTTTTCAAATAACTAATAACAAATATTTTCATGTTCTTGTGGGTATCAGTTACTCACTAAGCCTAAAGCACTCCTCTAGAAAGTTGTAAACTCATTAATCACTGAATTATAGGTAGAGACATGAATATTAAAAACAAACCAAACTTCAAATTTTCCTCAACTTTACATAATTCTATTCAAACACGCTAAATATGGCACTGAAAGAACCTATTTGGTATAAAACAAACTATTTTGTTACAATGATCCAATAAGATATATATATATACACAACACTGAGTATATAAAAAACCTGGGTATACACACATAATACTCACTTTCATCATACATTCATTATTACAGGTTTTTCTATTTTTCTTTATTTTTGGTTTCATGATTAATTTTGTTAAGACTACCTGCTCTAAAAGTGCCCAAGGTATTTCTGTATTTTTATTTCAGTCCTTTTTTTTTACAGTTTACTTTGTGTGCTTGCATACTGCTTTATGCATGGTGTGTCCATGTCATGTGTTAAAGGGTTCACCACTGTAATTATTTCATTTGTATATCTATCATTTAATTATTGTAAAGGACCTTTCTCACTGTGTTTAATCTTTAGTTGGTATGTATGTATATATGCAATGTAATTCATTAACGTTTTTCTTTTGAAGAAGTGTTTTTATTACAGTATGATTCAAGGTATTTTTATAGTTTTGGTGTATATTATAATGGATATAAGTTTGCCAATGAAGTTTGCCTTGTACTAGTTGTTTTATTTCTCTATAGTAGATAATGCCTATTCTACCAGAAGAGATATTGCAGTAACATAGTAAATCCATGTGAAGGGATTTCTGACTATAATATCCTTTGCTGGCCAATCTGATGATGCCTGTATGTTACAACCAAACAATGCTATGAGAGGACACGGGTCACATGATAATGTTGTCAACTGGATGAAGAAATCCAGTTTACCTGTAAATTCAAGGGTGCTTTCTTAATTTGGTTGTACTGGGAGATCTGGAATGAATATCATATTTAAGATCATTGTGTTTAGGTTCTGCAGAAAACAATCTTGAGAGAGTGAAAGGTGTAAGACTAAACACTATCTAGTAGATAGTTCTGTCTACTTAAGTACTTACATTGGGTTTTCATTTTATTTTACAATAAAGATTGTATTTGTTTCATTCAAAATTCAATTAGTTTCATTATTTCACACACACAAGAAAACTCGTTCAAATCATACAGACTACCTCACAAATTTCCTGGTCAACCCTGCTTTTATAAGTGGAATTAACTCTTCAATACTTGTGTGTAAATCAATTCACCTGAGAATAGTATTAAGTAAGTGGTTAAAATAAAAACTGGTCTAGTATTCTTCTTCTTATTTGACATTACTTATTGTCATTCCACTGACTTTTACCACTAGTGAAATTACAAATGTGTGGTTTGTTTAATTATTGCTTGTAGACAACACCATGAATTACCTTTTCCACAGAAGGATGCAAGATTCATAACTAAGTGTATAATTATATAAAATTTGATTATAAATTGGTTTCTTTGTAATAGTTATATTGTATTGGAGTGGCATAATTCCAACAGATATGCATTGTTGTAACCTATATTTTTATTCTTATAATTTGTTTGTTAGCTAGAGGGTGCATGATGTTAAGATATGCCTATAGCTCCTAGAAGATTCTAGTAGACTTGACATCAAGTTTCAAATACATTCAAATTTTTTGGTTTGTTTGTAGTTAAGCCCAAAGCAACACAATGGACTATCAGTACTGTGCCCACCACAGTATTGAAACTCAATTTTTAGCGTTATAAGTCCGCAGAGTTATTGCAGGGCCACTGGGGAGCATACATTCGAAAGTGGATTATAAATACGTATTAGTTATAAAAGACTAAAGAGTTGGTTTTAAGATGAAAAAAATGTTTCTAGCTACTAGAGTGAATCAGTCAGGGTGTGAAGTATTTCGATCTGCAATGGCTGTCATATTACTTTGTACAAGTAAGTATTTTTACTGTATAGTAGTGTAGTTAGTCACTTGTAAATGTAGCCAAAAAATTACCACACTGTTTAAGCATGTAAAAGATTAAGAAATAAATAAACTAATCTGTTATTCTTTACATGGACTAGACTTTGAATTGTTTTCATCGGATAATTTAAAATAACCTACCAATGAAAGAACAATGTTACAACAGTAAGATATAAAAAAACGGCAATCTCCCCTCCCCATTGGTTGCCGTTGAGAAGCGCAAAGCTACATAAAGAGCTATCTGTGAGGTGCCTACCGTACGTATCGAAACCCGGCATTTCGCATTATAGTCCCCCCAGTCTTCCTGAACCACTGGGGGTCTTTTCCTTGGCAGTAACTGCTAAAACAATAGATAGATCTTAGTGTTTGTACTTCAAAATGTTTCCACGTGCGTGAAGTAGCAGGTAATGTTAAAATTTCTCATATTTTATTCTACTGCCTAGTAGATAATGACACCACCATGAACTGACTTGCAACATTCAGAGAGCAGGTTTTATGTCAATCATTCAAGACTATGCATAAGGCGAAAACAAGTATTACACACCCATACACAAATATGTATACGCATAACTTATATATACTATCCTTGTAA